ACTTATGTTTGAGATCATTAAACAAATTTTAAATGTTAGACAATGATAACCTGAGAAAATACAAAATTAAGTTTTATAACAATTTCACTGATTAGAGGAAACCAACAACAATAAAAAAAATAAATTAAAAAAAAAAACAATCAAACACAAAAAAATGCCCAAAAAGCTAACAACTCTCCAAACCTACCTGTGGAAGAAAATAATGCCTTGTGAACTTAATAACGGGTTATGTCACCTGCCGCAGCAAGAACTGCGATCAAGTATTTACAATAACCAGCAATGAGTGTTTTACATCGCTGTGGGGAAATTTTGGCTCACTCTTTGCAGAATTTTTCTTTTTTTTAATTCAGCCACAATGGAGGGGTTTTTTGTTTTGTTTTTGTTTTTTTTATTTTTACCATGAACGACCTGTTTAAGGTCATTCCAAAGATTCTTAAACTGATTTTCTTTACAACTGAATGAGCTTATCACCGATCAATTATGGGATGTCACCCAGGTCCTGAAGCAACAAAGCAGCTCCAGACCATCACCATCATTTAAGTGATTTCTTGTTTTCAAAGCTCTGGAAGTGATCGAGCCTGCTTTTAATTATGATTTAACAAGGAGAGGCAGTTACTTTTTCACACGGGGCCGGGTAGATTTAGAAAGCTATTCTCCTTTAATACATTAAACCATCATTTAAAAATCTGTTTTTGTATTTACTCAGGTTAACTTTGTGTAATAGCAAATGTGTGTGATGAACCGAAACAAATGTGCAAAAAAGAAATGAGAAATCAGGAAAGGGGAAAATACTTTCACAACACCATGCACCATATTAAAGGACGCAATCGAGAAAATAAGACTATTTATCTCCCTCTCCCACCCAACCATCTAAATGGCATTTAACAAGTGCAGTGGCCACGCTCAAAACAAAATATTCTCATTAAAGTCCAAGTGTAATTACAACATTGTAGCAATAAAGATGTCTGTGTAGAAATGAATGCTTTGGGGGTGTGAAGGTTGAATTTCTGCATGTACAACTGTAGATGATGCAGTATCAACAAGCCACGGAGCTCTGTGTCTGTTTCCCCTTACAGCCTGGGGTTACAGAGGGGGGCGTGGTGCTCTACCAAAACAACACTTACCCTATAATGGCGGGCGGTTTTTATATTGTTATGACAGCACACATGTAACGCCAGGACATACACAGTTCCCAAGGAAAATAAATACTTGCACGCGCAGGGATGTCATTGATTAACGAGTCTCAACTATAACACTGGTGTGACAAATGACAGCTCGTTTTTATAAACGTTTTTAAGATGCCGTTATTTATTAATTTGTTTATCTTTTAACTGTACTGGGTCAGTGGTTAACGTAGACAAACAAGGGTGGATATGTTTAGTCAATGCGACGTTAATATGTTTAAAAAAAAATTACCGCAGGACGAGCGCGGCTGGTTGCGATAACGGCCAGGTCGCGCGACTATACTGCTCTGGAACGCGGCTCCAGTAGAGCTCGAGGGTTCACAAGCGGGTGAACAAGCGACGGAAAGCTGGCAGCCATACTCCGCAGAGACTCCATCGATTAAAACTGCTGCGCTTTCACACGCTCCAAACTCGACGCGAACACGTTCCCGAGCGACCAAATATCAATTAATGCAACGCTCGAGGATTTTTTTCGGGCATCTTGCACGACGTTAAGGGGCGCCCTTTTCAACAGCAGCCATTCCGAAAAACGGGACCGTTTACAGGCAGATGAGAAAGCAGAGAAACTGTACACTCCGGGGCACATGTTCGTATCCCGAGCGGCTAGCCAAGTCACTATAAAAGGGCAGAACTCTAGCCTGCTTATAATAAACACAAAGTTTATTAATGCCACTAACTAACTCACAAAATAGATGAAAACATAATGGCTTACCTTTTGGTGGCAACGTGACATCTCCATTTTCTTTCTTCGCCGTAGAAATGTTATTAAATTTACCGACGTCGTTATTAACAGTAGTCCCAGATCCGGAGGTCAACAACAGTTTATGTTTCTTTTTCTCCTCTCCGCCTCCTTTCCCTTTTCCCCTCTCTTTCTCTCGCTGTTTATCCTTACTTAGTTTCTTGGATTTGGAGGAAGAAGGTGCCTTATGGAGGAAGAAATCGCTCTGTTTAAAGACTTTGTGATGGGTTATCGGTGTCTGGGACCCACCAGTAGCACCCACCGGAGACCGGTTGTTGTTGCTGCTGCTGGTGGCCGTCTTAACCGGACTACAGCTCCACAAGCCCGAGCTGCTGCCATAACTCTGCAGCTTCGTGTGCTGCTGGAGTTTCTCTTTACCGCTACCGTTGCCTCCCACTCCTCCGTTCCTGTTGAGTTTCTTGGGTTTAACGCTCCTCTCTTCGACTCGGACCTTCTTGGGCGGCGGCGGCTGGTTGAAATCACGGGAAGACTGGGAGTCGTTACCAAGGGTTCCTTTCGCCTCGGTCGGCTTGCCGAGCGCGCTTTGAACGGAGGCTACAGTAGGAGTAGTAGCAAGGGAGGCAGCTCCAGAGAGGTGAATACTGCCCTGCGAGTCAGCCATCTTGAGGCTTCTCTCTCTATTTACTCTCTTCCCCCAACGGCAGCCGATGCTGCTTTTTTTCCGCGACGTTCAGACAGGCGATGAAGGGGCGGGGCCGAACTTGAATTGACAGCCAGGCAGCGAGGAGGCGGGACTCAGGCTCGACTGACAGGTAGCGAGGGGAAAAAATAGAGGCGGGGCTTAAGTATCTGTGCCTTAGCAGCATGTGTTGTATTTTACGTACGATCTATGGCATTTTGTGTTTATGAAACAAGGAAAGGTGTAGATTTTAACTATGAGGAGCCAAATATTTCTAAAGCTCAACAACTTTTTGAGTACTGAAATGCAGCCCTTAGATTTTTAAGATTAAATTTAAATCATATGCCAACTTTCATTGCTCCAAATCGCAACAAAGTTATATTTTTAAAGGTAGAGATCCTACAGCATTATGGACCAAAACCATAAAATCCAACAGTTTTCTCTTGCATAATATTTGGGGACAGTCCCAAAGCAAAACTTACAAATAGGTTCAAATAAGACGTATGTTTGCATGCTTAATGTCTGTGGCTGACCTGATCATTTGAACACTACCGCTAAACCTCAGGTATGAGGGTGTTTTAAACAGTGGACCTTGTTTCTGCTGAAAAACAAAAACAAAAAGAATCAGTAATAAAAAAAAAAAAACTTGCCATCCCTAAGTAAAAATTAAATTTTCAGTGATATTAAATCACTTTGAAGTTTTCAGACATGTCATTAAAAAGACTGCATTAATCCAACATCTTAAAAGGTCCTGCACAGACGTCACTGTAGTCTATGTGCTTATATTTTGGAAGAATGTCCATAAGCTGACTGGCAGAACTTGTGGACTCCCATTAAAGAGATAAATATGCCCTCTTTAATCTTTACAACTGAATGCGCTTATCACTCTCCCTCGCACAACACATCATTAGACCGTGTCATGAATCCTCTGGCGTTGTTTACACTTTGATTTACTGAGATGAAAACATTTTCTTCAATCAGACTGGCAGAGTTCTCAGTACAAGGCCTGTCAGCGTGTGACAATCAACCATGAATAGCAAACATGATTAGCAGCTGCACGAGGGGAATTGTAAAGTTACAGCTGGTTATAAATATTGTGACAAGATTATTGCATGATGCAAGTCACGAGCAGAGATTTGATGTCTGTGCATGCAGTGACAGAAGAGATGTGTGTAAGCATGTGCTGAGTCCAGCATCGACTTTATGTGACTCATATAGCTACAGTAAATCTGTATTTTAATATTACAGGCTTTAAAAGAGAGCTGACACAGTTTCTTCTGTGCAGCCTGCTGCTCACATATCCAACACTGACTGGCTATATTTATAAGCCATTACATAACATGTTAAACTGCTCATTGGGAAAACTGAGGTGACCCAGTTAAGACAGCAACCTGGCTTAATATTAATACTCAGAGAAACAGAGAGAGAAAGAAGGGTGCATGGTGCATTCATACTGTGTTAGTGTGCAGCCGAGAGGAAAACTTTGCACAGATAATCAGGTGGTAGTAGAAAGTGTGCATAAAGTAAATAAGCACTGGGGGTGAGAGGCATGTGCACTTTATTATGCTGTGTATACAAATATCGTGCACGTGAGCCACAAACATTTAAAAAGGGTGAAGGACGTACTTGTATGCTGTGCTGTGTAATCTTTTCAAAGTAACTTTTTAAATATGTGAATGGAAGTCAAGGTGGAACCGAAAGCTACTTGTTTATTTACATTTCTATTCTATGAAAATATACAGGAAACATCCTCATTCTTCCGGACTGAAGAACTCAGAACTGAAGAAGCTTCTCGGATGAGAGGTGAAACGTCTTCAAGCAACTTAAAGAAGTCCAGACGCTTTTCTTTGCAAGCTCCTTTGACTATCAATGTAAAGTGTTTTTAACCCTAACCCAGGATAACTTTAAAAACCCATCAGTGCCTGAACCACGGTAGTTGTACTGTCCATGATTGCATAATTAATTTGAAATGAGCATTGACTACCTGTGAGCACCAGCGAATAATTATAGTACGAGTGCCCTCCTGCTGTGCTTCTCTGTGTGTAAAGTGAATACAAATGCAAAGCCCTCAAGGTCTCTGAGAAAGCCAGTGTGTGTTTATGACCCCTGCTGTGATTAATTGTCATATTAGTCTGTGTGCGTGCTTGAGTGAATACAGTCGTCTTGGCAGCTCCACAAGGTGTGTGAGCATTTCCTGGTGTGACAGCGTACACACAGACACACAAAACTCACACTGACTGAAAGTTCACGAGTTCATTTTGAAGTCAGTCACGTCTGAAAACATCAGATTACAAGTCAGCAGGCGACTAAGTCAAAGTGATGCATTAGCCATTTGACTGGTCTATAGTATAAAATAATGCTTCCTGCTGAGACGCACACATTCAAACTCACAATTATTCAGGAATATTTACATGAATGAAGGCGAAAGAGGCACATCTTTACTTAAGGTCATTTTTACTGATTGATTTCTGCAACATACAAACGTGTGTGTGTGTGACAGGATGGGGCTGAGGGGGCGTGGCTGAATGAGAGTCCCACAGGAGGCGATGAGCAAGCAGCAGCGAATCACATCGCTTATGGTCATGCCGCTAATGATGATTGGAGGGCAGAGGGAAAGGGTGAGTGCGGGCAGGCAGGCTCTCTCTTAAAGGCACAGGTGGGCTCTTTACTGAGATCGAGGCGTGTGCATGAGAGTGTGTGTGTGTGTGTGTGTGTGTGTGTGTGTGGGGAGTGGAAGTAAACAGAAAAATGAGGATAACGAATTATAAGAGAATCAATAAAGTTAAAGACAGTCTCTTCTGTTGTGCGTGGGCATACAGATGTGTTGGAAATGACAGCCTTTCTCAAAAAAAATGGGAAAAGGCAGAAAGGAGGGCAGGAGTGGGCGAAGATTAAAGAAGCAAAAACAAAATGGGAAGTAAGTAGGAAACGACAGATGCTCCTTGTAGAGGACAGGACATTCATCTCAGTTGCGCCTTTTAAAAAAAAGAAAAAAAAAGTTCAAAAAGAATAAGAAATGATGGAGAGGAGAGTGACTGAGAAACGTTGATGTTTGGGTGGGGAGGGGGGGGCAGTGGACTTGTGTCACAACAAACAACTGCATATACAAAAATAACTTTTCAAATACCATTTACAAAAACAAACAACCAATATTATCATCATTATTAATATTATTATTACAATCTTGTTCAGAGCCCGTTGTAGTTATCTCAAAGAGGGCTGGGCTGGCAACCTCTGCTTTTCCTCTGCCAACCAATTAAAAACTTTGTTTTTAATCTAAGCATATAATTCCAAAAAAAACAAAGAAAAAAAACAAAAACCAAACCCCTGAAATATTTGCCAGAAGCAAAAACAAGAGGGTAGCAGAATAATTTACAGTTTAAAGAAAAACATTGTGTAGAGGGAGGATTCATCATCATGCACTGATTTTCTTACATCTTCTGTTAATAGGAACATTTAGGAGATAGAAAAAAAGGAAATCTGAAGTATTTTATACCTAAACTGTTCTGTACAGCTCTTTATAAAACAATGCATATACTGTATAGTTATGGCAGCTAATGAAAGAGAACAAAAAAAGAAGGAAAAAAAAAAGAAGAGAAAAAAAAAAAAGGAGTAAACAGTAGTAGTCCTGGGTCCCTGGCTGCTGTTGTCCTATTGGATCATTGTCTCAGAAGCAGGTAAAGAACAACACGCCGTCAGATGAGAAACCAAACAAGTCTGACTTATAGAGAAGGCTTGGAGGTTTAATTTCAATCTGTCGAGTCAAAGGTTCAAGCGTTTCAGGCGATGTGTAACATTCAGACTCCGAAACACCGGGGTTTGTCGTGAGCAAACTGGCAGCTGAAAGGAAAGAAACTTTCATGGTCGATCAGCTGAGGTTTGGCAGAAGGAAAGAAACCCGACAGAAGAACAGCAAATAAACGGAAGAAATATGAGTCCCGAGCAGACGAGCCAGAAACACCGAAAGAAGAAAAGAGCAAATAAAGGAGGGCTGCCATCAGCTGTCTTCTCTGAAAGGTGGACTAAGGCAGGCTCATGGTCCCAGTTGTGAGAGTCAGAGTCACAGAGCTAACAAGTTCGGCTTTTTCTGTGTTTAATGTCATTTTATCTCAAACGTGGGTAGCTTAGAAAAAAAAATTCTCCAATTCATTAATTTAAGGTGGGACTGTACTCTTTGGTTCAGCTGCTTGGAGCTCACACATATATACTACACTTTACACAAATTCATTGGCTTTAATCTTACCGTTTTTGCTTTCAGACTATAGACTGTATATAGAAGATGTAACCACCATCTGTTTTTGATTTCCGTTTTTAAAACCTCAACTTTTCTTTTTCTTTTTTTTGACAGGTCATATGATCCGTAAGTGCTTAGTATTAGATTAATAAAATGCTAGAATTTCACTCACTGACACTGAAGCACAAACTTCTTTGATATGTCTGTGCAACAAGTCAGATACAAAAATGCCCCATAAATCACCAGCATCGCAAAAATGCTTCCTGTTTGGGTAAACCTGTCAATCAAAACAACGCCCCCCCACCCCAGCTTTAAGCCTCACCAGTACCCATGTGAATAAGTAATGTAAAAATCCACCCACCATATTCTTTATATAAAGAGGCAAATAAGTTATAGAGCCCAAAAAAATGCTGGAAATTCAGAGATTTTAATATGGGACTATGGACTCTATGAAGCCTCAAGTGGCCACTACAGAAACTGCAGTTTTTGCTAGTTCGTTCTCATTTTTTTTATTTATTTATTTTTTAAAGCTCAGTTAGTTGCCACTGAGACATTGACACAACTATTACTGCCCGCTGCCATAAAATCACCAGCTGCACTTTAATGAACACCACAATGGCCAAACTTTGTTAACCTGTCACTCTGGCAGAGAAGCATGGACGTGTAAAATAGCAGAGCTAACAACAGCAGTGAGAAACTGGTAACAGTGAGCTCTAGCGCTTTCGTTTCCGTGACGATCCTTTGTAATGTAGCACCAGCACTTTGAAACAGGGAGAGAGAGACAAAGAGAGAGCACCCTGGCAACCTGTGCATACCCAACAGAAATGGGTAACAGATTATCGAAGTTCGCTTTCAAGATTGTTGTTCGTTCAGTAGGAGGCAACAGACAACTTCTGGGAGTTCAGCCTCCCACAGTAGTTTTTCTAATTTAAGGTAATTCCTGATATAGGAGGAAAAAAAATTCTCATTTGGCTTTAAACAAAGCGCTCAGCCTGAACACTTATTATTTATATTTGACATGTAACAGCCTTAAAAGTGAGGTGTCTACAGCTCATGGAGGAAAAACATGCCCGCTCTTAGTCTTCTCTCCAGTCACCCCCCCCCCCCAAAAAAAAAAAAAAACAAAGGTGAGAAAGCCCCCCCACAGGAATTATCCTTTATTAAAACAGGGAAATAACTGATCCCAGGTCAGCATCTAGAGTAGTCAAACCTGCCAACATCAGCAAGCTGAGGAGGAGAACATTCTAGCCTCTTGACTGTCCCTGCTCGGCACAGTGGCACTTTGCAGGGAGGACTGAGGAGGAGGAGGAGGAAGAGGAGGGTACTGGCAAACAGTCACTCAGAAGGTTTTTCTATGAAATGCGTAGCATCTATCATCTTGGTTTTTGGACCAGCCAGGTGAGGTTGGTAGACCCCATCTCCTGACAAGGGAGGACAGTGGTGGTGGACGGGCAGCTGGACTGTTCCATCATGTCCACTCCAGGGGGGGTCGTCGAGGACCTTTGGGCTGAATGCAGCGGTTACCGAACCCTGGAAGGAGAAAATGTCTTAGCTCAGTTTGTTTTACCTCAACACCAGAGGGAAAACCTGCCTGTTCTCAAGAACCATCAAACGTTTTCTGCACATGTAGGCCAAAGCGAGCTTTCTGATCAGCAAAATCAGTGGCACAAATCAAAAAATGATGACCTTAATAGAAACCGTGTTTGTCAGCAATATTTCCTGCACAGATTCACCATTGATGTTCCTTCAAAGGCTCAACTAGTAGAGACTTGAACAACAACAGTATCCAATCACAATTACAAAATAAAAGCCGTCTACAACAAATGAGACAGTAGACTTACCCACCCAGCTCTGGCTTGCTGTTGTTGCTTGTTGTGGTGTCAGCAGATGGAAGGTCGGCTGGAGAGGTCGTCACACAGTCAGACGCATCTACACATAATCAAATGCAACAAGAAAGACAGATTAATGGGGTGGAAGTATTCTTGAAATAACAGTGGTGTATATGCTACTCATAATTCAAGTCAATTACATTATAAAGCAGATTTTAAAATGAGTTCGTTAGAGTGATATAGGATCATGTGAGAAAATATAAAAAAAACATGAAGTCAAGAAGACAGAAAACATGCTTAACAAGACAGTACAGGATAAACATACAAGACTCTTAAAATAACTGAAAACAAAATGAATTACAGTGAAACCTTAAATGTTAAAATAGTGTAATCATTAAAAACTACCAACAGCTGTAGAAAGCGTATGTAACAAGTAGATATATGATAGCTTACAGCATTTATTGCTCAAGTCAAAAGTATACTAGTCAAAATAAAGAAACTCAAGTTTTGTGTTTTAAATAGATTTTAGTTAAAAAAAATTTTATTTTTTTTTTGGGAGATATGGCCTCTGGACGTGATTCAAGCAGTCACTTGTCTGCTCACGGACCACACAAGTATTTTGATTTGCTGTTGAGGAGCTGCTCTCCATTCCTGAATGAGTGCAGCCACCTGCTGTGCAAAGATCATTGATTGTGGATGCCTCTCATGAACACATTAACCCAGCATCCAAACACTTGTATTGTATGTTCTGAGACCACCGGCTTGAGAATACAGAAAATTTAACAAACACTACAAGAGAGGTTATTTGTATCTGGTAAACAATCATGACCAACAAAAGTAAATGCAGTAAGAAGATGTTGTGTTCTGGTCTAGTGGAGAATCTACATTATTGTTACAGCTAGCTGCTAGCCCATTATAACCGTTTGTGCACTTTGCACATCTGTGGTACCCAGCTGTATCCCAGAATGCAAAGCACACCTGACCACATGAAGGACTTAGCTCAAACCTGCAGCATACACGTAGATGCAGTTTGCTCGGATTGCGTTCACACCACAAACAAAGTGCTCTGGCGTTCTGAGACCACCTCAGGGTCTCGGTGGGGTTGCTTTGGTATGCACCCGAGTCTGAATACTGCATTCACACCTGCATACCAAGAGGGGGAGGGACCGAACCAGAGAATAATTTAAACACACCAAATACCACAGGTGCAAAAAACAGCCTACCAGGTTAAAATGTTGTAGAGAGAAATAGATTTAAGACAAAGACGAACACACAAAATGTGTGTTTTTTGGGTTTTTTTGACGAGGGCTTTAAATGTTTATGTATCAACACGTCCCATGAGACAACATCTGGTTCACTAGGTAGTGTTACTGTGCAAAAATTCAAACATTTCTCTCCCATGAAAGTTTGATGCTAAAAGCCCGGCTTGCAAAGCAGCCTTTTTATACTTAAGAAATGCTCCTAGTGAGTTATACTCATAAAAAGGTAAAAAAAATATCCCCACTGAATTAAAGTCAAATAAGCTGTCATAGCCACAGTAAAACTACTGAAGCAATAAATTGGCATTAACCATCATCACACAATCCTCATAGCACAGATAAGCATATGCACTCATTATAATTGCAGCTCTCTCTAGACATGTTTTATCTTTTTCACTCCCTTTTCCCCCTCCTCCTGTATCTCTGTTACTCTCTCATCCTCGCAGCGGTTTTTCTGACCAACGCTGTCAGTGTTATCATCGGCAGGCTAATTTGTAAATCACCAAAGGTCCCTTTCCTGCTCCGCTCTGCTGGCCAACTACTGTGAGCACAAAAAAAAAATATCGGGGAACATGCAGAGAGGCAGGGACGGAGAGTTCAAACAGAGGTGAGAGATGAAGAGAATTAGTGGACTAATGATTTGTGCGTTCGCACCTTTATGTGAACTCCACTCGGCTGAAGCTGATGTTTTCGCTTCCAAAGGGTCTGGCGGAGAGGAAGACAATCGGTGAATTTAACACAGGATGGGCGTTTGAGGACAAATGATCAAAAGACACAATACAGCACAAATGCACACACATTCCCACATTCAGACACGCTTAAAAATCACAGTCAATCCTCAAAAAGGTGCTCCCAAGTTGTGCCTGCATTTATGTAAAACATTTGAAATAATTAATTGAACCATAATGATCCGGGCGCACACAGCGGACAGCCTCTTAAACTGCTTTCTTTAAATTAACCTCATCTTTCTGCCCTCTTGTATCCATGTTTCTATTTGTAACTCGCTTCCCAAAGCTGTAACTATGACCGTCTCCATCTCTGCATGGCTGAAATAAGCAATGCTGACCTCTAGTGTTTCAAAACTGCCAAAGTACCTCTCAGCAGTGGTTTAATTCTTAACACAAACACCTCCTTTTCATCTCATGTGCTCCCTCGTGGCGGAATATTTTTAATACTGTTTTCTTCCACTATCAGAGGAGCTGTGCAGGGAGGAAGGAAAAAAAGAAGAAGAACAGCAGAAGGCAGCAGGATGGTCGCGCTAATGGCGAGTCAATCCTGTGAACGAGAGGCCTCCTACCTGCAATATGCGAGTCCATCTGGTTGTTTGAAGTGAGGATGACAGAGACTGAGGCCCCTACCTGTTCATACGCTGTACTAGGCAAGAGAAGCAGAACACAGAAAACCAGTTTCCTCCTGTTTCAGCTCACATCAGAGGCTGCCGACTGCATCAAACAACCACTGCTGCCTGGCTTTACTCTCACTACCAAGTTCGCGAAAATATGGCTAAACCACACAGCAGCACATGAATCTTTGATCCAACTGCCTCTTTCCCTCCCCCCCTTTTGTTAAAAGAAGGACAACACAATAACGTGGCCGCCCAGTCAATCCACACCACTGGGTACACACCTGTGGAACTTGACCAATGCAAACGCACCTGTGGCCAGTATGAAGGACTCAGGGGTTCGCTCGGGGAGAGGGGGAGGGGAGTCGTCGCTGTCCCAGCAGTCTGGGTTAAAAAGGTCAGAGGTCAAATGAGAAGCAAGGTTAACTACTGGCCGAGAAGAAGGGCAAAAAGATCGGCAGTCATATGGAGACAAAAAGGCAAGAATGTTAAATGTTATATAATTTGTCTGCATATTGTTACTTTTTTATACAGATATTCACTGGTTCTATTTGGTGTATATCGTGTTATCATTACTTCATTTTAGGGATCAGAGAAATGTCCGTATAGTCTCATGTTTGCCATGCTGGCTGCCACTGGACTACTGGCAGATAAGATGACATTGACCCTTAGTAGTGTCGCTTAGTGATCTGCTCATTTTGTCCTTAAAAGATCTGGGATCCAGTTTTTGTTCAGCAAAGTTACATTTGTGCTTAAAGATTTTAAAACCGTTAATAATCTGTTAATTTCTCTGTCTGGCAAGAAACAATGAATAAATGAAAATAAAAACAATATCCACAATGGCCAATCTGTTATTTTTAGCAATGCTTTCAGTTTGTGGAACCGCCACACTTAAGTCATAGCTACAGTTTCTTAAAAATCTCTTCTTCAAAATTCAGCATCATCGTTACCCGGTTATAGTTAAGTTAGTGTGACATATGAAGGGGAAAATATGACACTTTAAAGTTTGGCTGGTTAAGATACTTCTGCTTTACACAAAGCCAGCAGTTATCCTTGCTATGAATTATAAATTAAACCCTTCTCATATGCCAACCAAGAAAGTTAAAAAAGAAATCAGCTGACTTTCTTGGTTGGCAAAAAGAGTCAAAGTCAAAATCTTAAGTTAAATATTAGGTGATGTCCCCTTCATCTAATATTCCACCATCTGGCCAAGGCCCACTGCCTTTCTGTGGATACTCCGGATGCTCGAGCTTCCTCCCAGAGTCCAAAGACATGCAATTAGTGTGATTAGGTTAACTGGTGATTCTAAATTGCCTATAGGTAGGGCTGTTCGATATAACGATATATATCGGATGACGATATAAAAACGTCTATCGTTTCATTTTACGCTATCGTTTGTTTCGTGGTGTCGTAAAATAAACCGTTTACAGCAATATTTTTTCATCATTTTGATGGTCACTGTAGTGGCTATATTCATTTCTTAAAGTTCTCTCTTTCTCTTATATTTAATATAACCACACTACTGACGGACAAGCGGCTGTTTTTATGCGTTGTCGTTAGCAACAACAACAACGGTAAAACCATCGCGTGTCCGCTTGTTTATTTTCCACACAAACCTTTCACAATAAAGCTCAAGATCCTGTTGAGACTTTTCAAAATAAACTGAATCACGTGAAAGAGCAGATTATTTACGGATGAGAAGTAAAAAAGATCCACCAGGTGCTAAAAAATAAACCTTAGACTCAAACGTTAGAGCAGGCGTTTCCCCGCAGCACGCCGTGTAATAAATACTCACAAAGAAAACAGCGGCTGTTACAACTTATGCCTAAAAATGTATAGTTTCATGCATCGGTTAAAATACTCGACTCCAGGTACACGATGCGCAGCTGTAAACACTTCACGCAAGTCGAGCTGCCTGAGATTCACAGAATTTACATAAAATGTTACAATTTTGTGATTTATATGTTATCAGATGATAGATGTATTATATCGGGATATGAGATTTTGGTCATATCGCACAGCCCTACCTATAGGTGTGAATGTGAGTGCAAATGGTTTGTCTCTCTGTGTTAACCCTGCATCCCTGCAGGTGACCTGTCTAAATTTTAAAAAAAAATCCCAAATGTTGTCTGAAAGTTTTTAGGTGTAGATGGGACACAACACCACCTCAGCATAAACTGTATGCTCTGGTAAATGTCATCTTGTTTGCAGACAGTCCAATCACAATCAAAAACGCAAAAGCTTAAGAAATGTATTAGACCACCTGTGTTAAAAACAAGAAAAACATTTTGTATTAGAAATGGATCAAAAACTGATTTTTTCTGTAAACTGTACATATAAAAACTCATGAATAACGTGATAATTATATTTCAGAATTAAAAACACTGTTTTGATTATTTTTATAATTATAAACTAAAACATTAGCTGTATATATTTGATCCCTCCATAATTTCCTGCTCATTTTGCTTAATTCTTCTTTGTTTGTTACAGGCTTGTAAAGCACTGTGAGCTGCACTAATCTCTCTAAAATGGGCAATTACAAAAGGTGTGAGTGATTCATTGGCAATGCAGTCAGCAAAACAGGCAGCCACCAGCTTTCTATTGACCAACCACAAAGCAGCAATTTGCTCAGTGCAACTCCTCAACAAAGCAGCCATTAGATGCTTGCAACCAATCAAACAGCAGCTGTTAGCTTTTCATAACTGAAGCACTGCTGCAGCCCAGACAGAGTGTGAGAGAAAGCCAAGCAGACTGAAACAGTCGACGTCAAAACAGACACATTTTCACATCCGATTTTAAATATTGGAAATACTCGAGGAGAGCGTGACATCAGGTATAATGCCAGAGATTCAATGGCATGTCAGTATATTTTGAATTTAAACTGCACAGACGATTTAAGCCCAGTCCACTCAATTTCACGTGAGCTCAGATCAAAGAAAGAAGAGCAGCAGAAGTCTCAGTCCTCACACCCCACCAGGAGATTAAAACCCACTTCTCCTTGTCACAATCACATCAATCCCAAACAGCGTGACACTGTCTGTTTGACCCAACGTGCACCAAAGTGGCGTAAGTGCATTCATCAGTATCATGCAGTGTTGATCTTTCCCCATCCAACATGCACACAGTTTTATGCTCGCAAACACACAAAACAATTTCATTCATCCTTTCTCCCATTCACAAATTCCCTCACTTAGACAAACACACATAAACAAGCTGAAGGAGGAAGAGTTGTTTCCACACATGTCCATATTTGCAGCATTCCTCCCAAACCAACCAATTAGTCAAACAGTCATGCTTTGTGTGAGACTCACTGGAAACTATCTCTCTCCGATTTTCTTGTCATTTCCTCTTATTCCTTTCTTCCATTCCTCCTGTTTTGCCCTCTCCTGGCCTCTAACTCCTCAGCAGTGAGAACACAGTGTGTGTGTTGACAGATATAGCTTGTCATTAGATTGTTGTTTGAGACCTCTGGCTCCTTACCGACCCAGAAAATTACTCTACAGTGTGATTTTTTTTTTATTTCCTGAGTGTACAGTAGTTGAGTGCAAGCTTACTTGGTGCCTTCATGTGCATTTCAGGGAGATTGTTCTTGACTATTTGCCTGCTAAACCTCATTGTTTAGTGTTTAGTTTTCATAATTTCTTAATTAATTTCACATATTTTAAAGAATTGAGAAGGAAAGCAGTTCAAGCAACTGATCGACCTACTTGCTAAGGATGGAGAGACCGTTGGTGTGATCTGCCCTGCAATTGACATCGGCGACACCTTTCTGACCGGCTGCTGGTCTCCATGTTGAGAGGATGCCGTTACGGTGGCAGTCGCTGTGGATACGCTTGTACGAAAAGCTTCCTTTCCTCCTCCGGACATCTCCTCGGACACCTTCCCCTCCTCGTCCGAGTTGTCAGAGTGCAGGGGGTTGGTGAAACTCAGGGCAGTCCTAACAGGTGTGGAGGAGGAGGAGGAGGAGGAAGAGGAGAGGTGGGAGGAGGAGGATGAGGATGGAGCCACACGGTCTGAGGAGGAAGAAGAGGAGGTGGTCTTGGGGTACTGTTTGTCCGGGCTGTTGCTGTGTTGAGTCCACGCTGCATGGCCGGCTTTCAAATCCCCTCCCTGCTTCTCCACCTTCTCTCCACTCTTCACAGGAAGGTGGTTCGGCCTGGCGAGGCTGCCTCCATCTGCTTGACTCTCTCCACATCCACAAGCTCCTCCCTCTGTGCCAGAGTCCTCTGACAGAGAGGAGCTGGATGTCAGAAGGGACTGACCAGTGCGAGCTTTAAATGCGTGACTTCTTTGCAGTGCGCAGCTGTTGTTACTAGAACTGGAGCCTTGTCCGCCGGCTACTCCCATCGACGAGGAGGTGTCAAAGCTGCGAGGTCCTTCTTGCAGTGGCACCTTTTTAATCTCAATGCTGAGCTTCCTCTCGATTCGAGGAGCACCAGAACAATCAACAGCTGGGGAGAGGGGCGAGGATGGGGTCTGAGTCTGGCTTTGGCCTGATTCTGACTTTGAAGACATTTTGTTGTTGTAGTTGTCATTGAGATCCAGACTTGAGACCTGACTCTGCTGTTTTCGGCTTAGTTGCTCTTGATCTTTCTGCTCTGAGGGACTGGTCTGTTTGTTTGGACTGGGCTCTAGCTGATTCTGCTGCTGGTCTGTGTTCTTATCCTGAAATAAACATAAAGTAGAACAAATGAGACATGTAATCTCCCCCCCTTCACAAAAAGCAAAACATTCACACGCCACCAGAAATCTTTGATGTTTAAGTTAGAGTTCAGAAAAAGCTGATTAAGCAGGCCCCACACACAAAAAACAAACATGAGCTGTAGGAGAACAAAACAACCTTATTTATATTCATGCATTTTCATACTTCTGCTGTTATTATAGACTGTGAGCCGGTTGTTTTCCCTTCTAGACTGAAACTTAATTCTTCTGAAATAATAATTTACTACATTTTACTTGCACAAAAACAAAAGAAATCATCATAACAGACACATGGATCATGGAATCAGCTGCAGTTCTTTAGTGATGTTACGGTTTGTTTAGAACATAAATAATGTCAAAAGACAAAAATGCAACTTTTTCCACTGCTAAAAGATAAAGATTTCCTTTTTACAGCATCTCATTTTGATACTTCCTGTAAAGTTACACCTATACCTACATGATGGGAACTTTTCATTGGAACAAAAACAACTTAAACAACTCAACTTGGTAATGAACTTAATTTTCCACTTAAATGTGTAATTACGTGCTCCTAAACCAGGACCACTGTAATAACAGGGAGTACCCATGTCAGAGGGCTAACTCCTACTTTATGGTCTACGTACTGGCTGCGTCCTGCCCCATCTGTGATATCTTCACAACTATGTAACTGATGCCCCGTGAGCATGAACGAGTGGCACAACACACACACACAAAAAACCCCAAAGCAAACAAAAGCGATGGATCAACGACAGAAAAAGCTCGAGTAGCCCACAGACAGGATGTACCACATATTTTTAACACTGCCCCTCTATCAGCCGTCCCTGCAAGTATATGGACATCTATAGCTGCCAACAGACTGCCCACGCACTATCGTTGCTAAATCACAGCTTCCCCATCATTCAGTCTAGGAAATTCCATAACCATTAGCTGACTTAATATATAACAGGTTTTACCAGACCAATTACTATTCTTATATCCGTGCAACTTCCCATGTACAATAAAAACCCTTTAGATACATACCATGTAGTTCTATACACAATAGTATCCTATAAGTTGCCAATTTTTAGTTTATGTCCAGCTCACCTCTGTCACGTTGTGCTGCGCAGTAGCGAGGACATGGATGACGGGTTTGGGATGGTAGCGGTCATTGTCCTGTCGCACGTTCGTGACAGTCGGGAAGGCTGACGGAGGAGATGGGGTCAGAATGGGTGGTACGGGGTGAGCCTCTGGGGGTTGGAGGATCTCTTCCTTTACGTCGCCTTCTACCTGCGTACTAGACCGAGAGAAAGAGAGGGAGAGGAAAAAAAGAAAAGCCCACAAGAGTTTGTTACTGAATAAATATTACAGTTGACAGTGAGAGTGACAGGCTTTTGATGATCTTTAATGAGACATTCCTACAGAGGCCAAAATTCATAAAAATAATTTTTTTACTGTTAAACTAAACCCTGGATTTTCTAGCCTGGATAAAAAGTTAAAGTTTTGTGCTGCGGGTAAGAAAATCAAAATGATGCAATGGCAAGAAATTCATCCTGCTGATCAGGAAACGCCCAGAAATTCTGACATCCTAAGAAGGGCGAATTACAAGGCTTATATGACGAAATTAACTTTTAATCTCATGTACGTATAAAACTAAAAGTAGGTCTGTGCTATGTTTTGTTCACCACTAGATGGCAGAATTTGAAAAAAAGTCTATACTTTTAGCCCTGTAGAGACAAATTCCATTTCTTATGTGATATTTTAAGACTTCTGCTCTCACCCATATTATGTGGCTTTAACAGTGACATAACCTGCCAATGTGACAAAGTGAAAACGGATCAGTGCTAAAGAGTTTCATTTCTCAAAATATAAATGGTGCTGTAACCAACAGTCTAAGACAGCTTTCTTCTTAAAGTATCGAAAGTATTTTATTCTCTTCCGTGCAGCTTCCTCAGAGCACAGAAGCAGAAAAAGACAAGTGTCAGTAACATGACAGCATCTATGGCTATTCAAGATAAGTTGTGAATGATTACTTCACCGGCCCACATAACTTTACCACATGTACAGTATTTTAGTAATGTAGCCTACTAATAAATAGTTCTGTAAAGCTCGCAGTGTAGGTGTGTGAGTTGCATACAGGATACAGTGGTTATGACAAAGCTAGCCACAGAGAGATGGAAAGTGACACAAGCAAATATTGTTCAATACATTTATATGGTGTACGCATGCAAAAATATAGATACAGAAAAGCAGTCAAAGGAAGTGGTGGTGTACCAATTTAGGAGCACATGACCAAGACAAGAGCCAGCATACAGGCTGACAGCACATGATGCTGTGTGTGGATCAGAGGCAGGCAGACACAAAGTCAGACACTGAAGTCGCAAGCTAGAAGCTCGGGGGATTTCCTTTCATTGAGCAACTTTGGAGTTGCAGTCAAACCATAAAAGCCTTCCTCATTAAGCCTCAGAATTGCAGCACAGAAGACGTTCTTCTTTCACAGAGGCTTAGATCTGCCGTGTGTATTCTTGTTTACTTGCTCTTCCAGACAAACATTTGTTCACATTTTTTAATAACAACAGGCTAGGATGCACACTAGATTAAAGAGCCCAGCTGATAATGGATTCTTAAGGCCGGTGCAGTTTTGATGTTCTCCAGAAATGTACACTTCCCAACCCAAAGAGTCTCACACACTAGTATTTCAGTGGACTGCCTTTAGCTGTGATGTGGCATTGTTTCAACAAACTTAGGGAGTGTTAGAGGATTTGGACCACTGTGTAAAGTCTTTTGCAGCACATCCCAAAGGATTCTCAGACAGGTTCAGTTCTGAACTCTGATGATCGATTCATGTGCAAAAATTATGTCTCATGCTCCCATGTGAACCCAATGAATCCTGGCATTGTCATCTTGGCCTATGCCCGTACTACCAAAACAAGACAAGAAAACAAACAAACAAACAAAAAAAAAACACTGATGCAAAATGTAAGCAGTGTATTCAAATAATCAGCTGACCAATAGAAGCAACCCAAGAATCATAAAACTGACCTCACAACCTCAGTAGGCACTAGGCACGCCCGTGATGTGCGTCTAGAATCCATGCTTTACATTGCCAAGCAAACTGACAGCTACACAGCTGTTTAATCCCAATCTCTTGGGTTCTCTTCATATTTTGCATTTAGAAATGATCTTATTTTCACTAATAAACATAGTAATACTAAACACAGTAATCTCAAACCACTTTCCTTATAGATTTATTCCTGACTACACCTGACACTTTAATTGAACACTTCATAACGTAGCATCAGTAGTTTCTGCTTCTTTTGCTTGATGCAAAATAATGTAACCTTTCTGAAACATCTTTTCCACGATCCCGGGACATGTCTTCTGACATGTTTTAAGCAATTATCCATTGGAAGACTGTTTGCATTTGCTTCCTTAAATTAAGTAGCCTTTTTGGCTAAATTGTGTATTTCACAAACTAGTTAGAAACTTGGGCTCGTGTCAAAATGACCACATCCACAAAAATATGACTACTTGACATTTCCTAACAAGAAGGCTATGGACATACAAACCTCCAGTATCCCAATATGACGGGCTAATATCAGCTAATAATATAGGCCACTGAATAAAGCCAAACTAAGTTGATTGTATTGTAAAACTAGAACTCGTGTGCATAACTTTTCCTCCAATTCTTGGAAGGGTGGGCTGTTCCAGAACAACAGCATATTTAGCTTTCAGGCTCAACATAACTTAAACTAGACACCACTATCTCTTTGTTTTCTTTAATGAAAACTTTAATTACCCATGAGAATTTCTTCTTCTATGTCATCTTTGTTGCCTGAGCAAGCATGAGATATTTAACAACACAGATTCCCAACTGGATCCGGTTATTTCCACGGGGGATTATAGACATTCGGATGCCACAAAGATTTTTTTTTTGGGCCCTATAAGATGAGATGAGATGAAATTTTAATGATTCCTAAGGGGAGGTTGAGCTGTTACAGGAGCAAACACTAATAAGTCACTGAAAAACAAACAAGGCGTAAAGAGAGGAGAATAAAGAAAAAATGAAGCTGCAGGCAACTCAGTGACAACTGCAGCATGTGTGACGAAATGTAAACATGTATTACAAAAATATAAGAGTTTAAATCAAATGCAGAAAGTACTAGTACTGCTGCTTTCCTGAGGGATCTAATGATTAAATAAAAAAGCCCAAATTATTCTGTTTAATGATAAAAGATGAAAAAGATCCAAGATTTCTCTCGTTTTGTTCAACAGAAGCAACAACACTTCAATTCAGCTCACTCTAACTTTTGCTAAAAACTGCTAAAACTATCCTGCAACAATGTCAGTATACAAAAAATGTATTAGTGTCATGTTGTCAACCAGCACAATGTCAAAAATCAGTCCTATCATGTTAGGACACTGGTGACACAATCCAGAAGAGTTCATTGTGACTATACCAGGATCTGCCCACAGTGTTCTTCATATTGTGTAGGTAGTAGGGGTGGGGGGGAAAATCGATACTGTGTAGTATCGTGATATTTTGTTTGCTAATAATGTATCGATACAGGGACAGCAGAAATCGATATTTTGTTACAAAAAAAAGTTTGTGGAATGGAACATGCTCTGACTTCAGAGCATTTTGATCCTTTTTCTGAGCAAGAATCCTGACATTCCTTCACTGTCCAAATGTGTTTAACTTTTTTTTTTTGGCAGCAATAAACATGACAGTTTACTTATTTTAATTTAAGACATGTTTTATTTTAATTAAGTTTAAAACTTTTTTATTTAATGTAAAATTATATTTTGTTTTAATTTACTTTCAAATTCTTCAGTTGCTGAAGGGGCTGCATAGTTTTCATAAATTTCAAAGTTCAGAATAGCTATAATTGTACCAGATGGTTGCATTCAGTTAAGTTGGACTAGACTGTAATACAAACCGTTCAGTTTGTCAACAATAAAACTGACTGAAATGAGAGACTGAGTGTGAGACTTTGATATTAGATAAAATGAATATTGATAAAGTTTACCTTTATGGACAGAATCTGAAGATCGCAAAATATTTAAAAAAAAAATTGCAATAATATCGTATCGTGCGTTAAGTATTGTGATAATATCGTATCGTGGGATGTATGGTGATTCCCACCTCTAGTAGGTAGCTCCCTTTTCGCCTGCTAAACAACCGCTTCCCCATTGTGTCCTTTAAAGATGTCCTATAGTGACTGGCACCGACACATGAGCAGCAGATCCAGTCGTGCAGGGTGTAAAGTGGGAGGGTCAATGGATCAGACTTGTTTTTCCAGCACATCCCAGGGATGCTTGATCAGAATGAGATCTGGGGAATTTGAAGGCCATTTCAACACCCTGAACTCTTTGTCATGGATCTCAAACATTCCTGCTGAAGACTAAGGATTGTATGTAGCATGTTTGCAAGTTTAGGTAGGTGTAACAGTCACATCAGTGCCACAGCTGCTTCCACTGGCTTGTGTTCTTTCTATTATCTTTTGCCATCTTTCCCCCAACATGCACCTAGCCACAGAGACAAGGTAAAAGCGGAAGTCTGATGTGTTTTAGCAACCAGCAGTAGAGTTTTCAGAACTTTGGTTTAGACTCCCTTCAGGTCTTGTGGCATCATTGAGTCATGCTCAGTTCTCCTGTTTTGGTAAGTACTAATCATTGCTTACTGGGAACACATGACATAATGTGTTGGAGATGCTCTAATCTAGTTGTCTTGTCACTACCTTGACAAAGTCACTCACTTTAGTTTCCAAGTTCAGCACATCAACTTCAAGAACTCTTCACTTGTTGGTTAATAGTGATTATCGTGGCCAGTGTTGGGAAGGTTACTTTTAAAATGTATTCCATTACAGATTACATGCCCCAAAATGTATTCTGTAACGTATTCCGTTTCTACTTTGGCAGCTTCTTACTCGATGAGAGTAACGTATTCTGAATACTTTGGATTACTTAATATATTATCATGCTGTTTACAACTACGTGAATGTACTATTGCTGTGATTTATTACCGTTACCGAACCATAGTAAAGGGACCTCTGGCTAATACGTGGGGTTCGTGTCGGGCTCGTAGCCGAAAAAAAGCTTTACTTTGTTGTCTGGGTCAACTTTTCTTGCAAGAGACAGAGAGAGGCGTTGAAAGGCTGCTCCAACGGAACTTATTGTTTCGGAGGAAAACACAAACACAGCGTACAGTCTTAATAGCTTACTTACACCTGGGCTCGTCAGGCACTCTTCTTGGCTGCAGTGGTTATTATTATATTTACATGCTTCCAGCTCCTGTTTTTGCTCGATGACAACTCGTACTTTTCCTTTTTCTCCCTCCCTCGCTCACAGACACATAACGGGTATGACAGTCCATTCTCCCTGCAGCACGGACTACACTGCCTATGATGCTACATTCTTTAGAGCATTCTTTAGAACATCTGCGGTACATGTATTCCGTTACTCCCCAACACTGATCGTGGCTCATAGGTGCACACACAAGATTATTCGCTAATGCATACATTTCTCCTGTAAACCTTAAAATCCTTCATTTTCACTCATAAATCAATCCACAGACACGCAAAAACAAGTTTGGAGCAGCAGGTGGTTGCGGCTTTGGTGGTCACAGCCAGAGCTCTGTGCCTGCCTCACCTTCCTCAGCAGAAAATAGAAGGTAGAGGATGCTTTGTAAAATTAAAAGCAATTAGAGGAGTCACTATACAGCATCACCCATCTTTTGTTCCACTGGGACAACTAAAAATGTGTATGATATAATGTTTAACACTTGAGTATCATACTATTGCTCACATTTTACTACCTCAAAAACACAGATGTCAGTTTTGTTACGTCATAGGTTACATCACCAAGATGCTACTGACACATTTTAGCCAGAAGCCCAGAAGTATTGAGGTTTTAAACCCATCCCTAATGGCAGAGCATGAGTAAAAGCCATGACTCCCTCGAGTTCCTGCAGCATCTCCCCTCCACCCTTCTCTCTCTCCCTCTCTCACAACCAAAGATTCTTCTACACATTTACACCACTGCAGGACCCACTGGGAGTGTGGCCGGCAGAGTGTGGTTTATGTCTGTAAAAATAGCTCTCGCCATCAATAGAACACTCTCAGGCTTAAACTAGGCCTTGACATCATTTCTTTATAAACACAGGGATGATGCAGAGAAAGAAAGGAACATACTGATAAGAAAAAGAGAGGGAGACAGCATACACTCCTCACAGGGTGTCCTGCTTCAAGGAAGTGTTTCTACTTTGGCAGCTTCTGCAAGTTCCCATTTGTATGTTTTACTAAGAACAGGAAAGAAACCGTCCAGTAAACAGATAACTTGTAGGTACACACTAAGATTAGAATGAGCTAAAAATGTCTGCTCTCTCATAAAACTGCCTTGTGCAGGAGACGAATTAAAGAAAATGAGAAATTTAGTGCAGTAAAAAGGATACATTGGCTCTTAAAAAAATGTAATAACCCCAAATGAGTACTTTCCTCGAGGTGCAGCTCAATCTGCATAATGTCTAGAGGGGCTTTGGTGGATCCTTTTTCATGTGCTTTAGCTCAGGTATTTTGTTAGGCTGTCTAGAGGATACTCTGCAGGCATAGCAGCTCTTCTTTGGGCTTGTTCTGTGCCCTTCAAATGGCATATTTTCTTTATCTAAAATCATCCTGTAGTAGATCTGCTTTAATGTTTACTTACAGTCATAGTTCTGCTCCATCACCCCTAAAGAAAACTTAACTTGGGAAATTATGTCACTATCAGTGAGAGAGCAGATGTCCATAAACATCATCAAGATTCACTTTGATGATATCTCCACTATGCATCAGGCTTGAATACGCCTATTTAATGACATGGTAACACAGATGGAGACCAGTTCATTTATGCTGGGGGACTGATTACTGGAGAAGGGAAATTCCTTCTCTCCAACCCTACCCATTCTAAGGAGACATGGGTAGCCACTGTGTGGTGCCCAGGGATTAATTCCAGCTGTAAGCCAGTGCGCTTCAATCAAGGACACTGTGACAGGAGAATTATCCTAGCATGTCATTTCTTTAGAAAGAGAGAGAGAGCACTAAATCATCTTCACATGCATTAAGGCTTACGTACCTACTAACTGATGCATGATTTGAGAACCCACTTCAGCTTTATGCAAATTATGTGTTCACAAAGACAACCCTTTGAGGTTTGATTTTTATCATCTTTAGCAAAATATTTGTGTGTTTTGAAAAAGATAGCTCAACCAGTTCCTCAGTGTAATAAAATGCCTGATAAATTGTTGATATCATTAGCCTATGGGTAGGTACACTTCCCCCCCCCAATCTTTGCTGTGAATGTTTAAATTATATATTGTCCGCAGAAAAGAACAGTAGCATCAGCCGTGTTATTAAAGTGGAGTTTGTCAGCTGATAATTATTTATTCAGGACAAAGAGTAGCAGATCACTTTACATCTTCTTGCCACTATAAATGTAATCACGCTGATAATCACAGAGCCATTGTTTCTTACATTAGCACAAAAAATATGCTGTCAAAACAGCAAATCTTTAGAAAATGCTTCCATCCATCCATTCGCTTCCGCTTATCCTTTTCAGGGTTGCGGGGGGCGCTGGAACCTATCCCAGCTGTCATAGGGCGAGACAGGGGTACACCCTGGACAGGTCGCCAGTCTGTCGCAGGGCTAACACACAGGGACAGACATCCATTCGTGCTCACATTAATTAGACGGTGGGAGGAAGCCGGAGTACCCGGAGGGAACCCACGCAAACACGGGGAGAACATACAAAGTCCACACAGGCAGACCCCGGCCTGATGGTGGAATTGAACTCAGGACCTTCTTGCTGTGCAGCAACAGTGCTAACCACTGTGCCACCGTGCTGCTATAAAGTGCAGTTATAAAGTGTTTTGCTGTGTTAACGGGGAGAGGATATTTTCAGGTGTGGATACATCATGAGTAGAAAGAAAGAGGGCTGTAAGAAAAGTCTACACCCCTGCAGGCCCGAAAGGAAGAGACAAAAGACAGCAGAGAGAAGCAAGATTTAAAATAATAATAATAAAATAATTGAGTAATAAGATGGAGGAAAAATGTATAAGACTGAATGACAAAGAATAAGAGAAAAGAAATCTGTATTTATGAATGCGGCAGATAAAGTGTGTGTATGTGTTTGAAATAAATTCCCTGCATTTGCATAAAGGACTGTTTGTTCTCAAAGAGAAGGAGATGAAAAATGTAACAGTTCTACTTTAACTAGCCTTGGGTTGTGGTGTGTTCAATGCCATGTCGTGTTGCAGAGCATTGCAAAGTGTTGCAAAATGATCTATAAATACAGCTCCTCCTCCAGTAGGAGCAGCAGCCAAACAGAAGTTAACTTTGGTAAAGTGGAGGCTGTTTGTAACTTTGGGCTGATGGGGAGCTACACTGTAACAAAATACTGGGATATTATTTCTTTTTTTTCTTTTTCTTTTTTTTTTAAATATGTTTTCTGTGTGTTTTGTGTGTTCACAGTGTTCTCCAACAAGCCACCTCTCGCCTGGCGTGAACGCCTGTGTGGGCTTGTTAACTAATCTGTGTTGAGGACGAGGTAAAGCAGGTGAAAACTAAAACGCAGAGTCGACCAGTTGCAAACATCCTTAATGAAAAACAGGCCGGAACGATTTAACGATATAAGGAGATAAACTGAAAAAATAAATAAATAAATGTCAGACAAATGTCCTACCTGCGAATGCGGGGAGGTTTTGGAGGTGGAGTGTCCCATGTATCATCCGATAATTGGTTGCTTGCTTTGTCAGGACTGCTTTCATCCTGGACACACACACACAAGAGTAACAAAATAGTTGGACACGACATTTGTGAAAAGTGGAAAATAAGGGAAACCCTCTTATTTTTCCTTCCTGTCATATTTAGATGCTGGAAAGCAACTACAATCATCCCTACTTTTAGTTAATCAATATATTTAATTTTTTGTATACCTGTTTGCATATTTAGATGAAAGATGAAGCTTATTTTTCATCAAGGCCTCTGGACTAACCCTCTTTCTTCTCACCTAAATGTTCCTGAAGCAGAGGTAACAAGTTGCTACAAAGTTGCTTCACCAAACGATGAAAGACTTATTCTGAAAGAAGCCCTCCCCCAAACAACAATTTTTCTCTCTCTTCCTCTCAGCTCTCATCTTTCCTCTTCTCCCCTGTGACTCATTAGTTTGACTCCCTCCCCACTCTGATAATGAGAAGATGACAGGCCAACTTCAGTTGTCAAACTCATGACATAGGGGCAAACCGGGCCATTTGAACGCTCTAGTCTGCCGAGGAACTAAATTCTGATCTAAGAAAAGAGGGCAGGAACACAGCTTCTTTAGCTCCGTATGTCCACGTATGTTGTGAGAACCGATCTAGTGGGACGGTTTCCTGTGAACAAAGGCGGGCGTGAGCGTGCGGAGAAACATGTAGGATGCGTGTATGTGGAGGCTTATTGTTCCCAATGCCACAGAGATCACCTATGTGGGTGTTTTAGTCACCGACAATGGCTGACTGGACATGAGTCAATGCATGTATGGACTGAGTCAGTACAGCACAGCAATACTGATGTGCTGTTTGTGCGTGCAGCGTTCTTCTTGGACTTGCAACTAAGTGAGATAACAACAGGGTCACGATCAGCAGCTACAGACTTGTGCTGCAGTTTATGTCACGCTTGGTGCAAACCACACCTTATCCTTAAATGATTAATAGCATAAATTTTAAAACAAGGGAAGTAGTGATACAGTTTGTCCACATTTTAGAGCCGCTCAAAGATATATTGAGCTCCACTTTACAAAGTATGTCAGCAGATTCTTTTCTAATGTCAAAAACAGTTGTGTCCGTCTGTGTGACCGTGTCTTGCGAGGGTCGCCCTTTCCCAACGGATGTGTTTTTCTATTCTCAGACTCAGAGTGCATTATGGGAGAGAAGTGATGTCACCAAAGCTTCCTAAGCAGGAAGTGAGCTTCTGGATTACTGCCAGCACACTGTCTCATCAGCTCTGTATCCCCCCCTCCCCCCACACCTCCCACAGTCTTAAGATTTGCCAGTCTTAAAAGCTCTCTCATTGATTCCCATTTCCACCATGTCTATGTTTTCACAGGTCAGGTGGAGCACTCATTTCTTGATGTTACCTCACCTGATGCTGCTTTGCATCATTTTAATTTCTCTTTAGGATTAAAAGGCTGTGAAATGGCACCACCTCAACACAGCTAGCACCTAAAGCTTCCCATCTTCTTCAGGCAGAAACGTTTGACACAGAAACTGGTTGCATTACTTCAGAGGCCACTGGTGTAAAATGCTGATGGGTATTTGTATAGCATGTTGCATATGCTGCACTTAAACTTGCATTTGTGAGCTTGTTTCTCTTAAAAAGCAACTGAAGCAAACATGCCTCAGAAAGAGGCAGCAGATTTATGGTCTGGTATTTTATCTGCTCACAATACATTTATTATTACTTGCAATTATTCTTCACTTACAGTAACAGCAGTTTCTGTTTATATCACTTAATGTGCTCTGATTTCAGCCTCTTACAGTGAAGCTTGTGCAGTCCTTCTATGGTCTAGCTCTCTAAATATAGAGCAGCTTGTAGTCTCTTTAAGGCTGCTTGATGGGATGACAGGAAGAATCTATAGTTAAATGATAATTTGTGTTCCAAAACGAGATTAGAGCGTGAATATTTAAAAACACAAAGTTTTGGTGTCTTTCAAGTTTGGGAAATAATATTTGTCCCTCTTTTTTTGTGTTGTTTTGTTCTTTAGGCTGGGTATATGCTGTGCACTGTCCTAAATGAAAGGTCATTGTGAAAAAAACTGGTGGCATCGGGTCATATCAAAGTGTCCATATCTATGAGCCATCCATTCCCAGTTGTAGCAGCCCTATTCAAACTTGAGGACGAAACACAGAAGAAGAAATTCTCATACAGTCTACATACATCAAGCTTTAGTTTCAGTTTATTAGACCTACGTTGTACAGTGTCATTTGCAACAAACTTTGATCATATGAGAAAAATTTTTTTGGCCATGGGAGGAGGACCAGAGACAATTCAGGACACTTTGTATAGAGCGCTTGTGTATTTGGGGGCAATAGAGGATAATGTAAAGCAATTTAAAATGAGGTCAGTGGTAAGTGACAGAGCAAAGCGCTTCCAGTTGTTTTTAAATAGCTGAAATTGTCTGCAGTCCTCAGAGTACTCTGTACAGAGATATCTCTCGTTTTAAGCACAATCACAATGACTCTTCTTTTTCTGTCTGTAAACAAAAGTTTTCTTTAGACCTCTCCACACCATCTTCTCCCCTGTGACTAATTATCTGTATTTTTTTCCCCTCCACTCCCAGTAAGTTACTCAGCGACATCCTGTCTTGCTTTAACACTACAGAGCATGCACAGTGTGTGTGTGTGTGTGTGTCATACCATGCCATCATGGATCTGTGTGCTGGTGGGACTCTCCAGCTGCTGTAGCTGTTTCTCAAACAGTTGAGCGATGGCTCTATGAACCAGCTCATACTGCTCCTATAGATAGAAAGAAAACAGACACATGATGAGGCAGGAGGGAGAGAAAAAAAAACTGGTGCATGAAGAAAGAGATAAGGGTTAAATGCACAAGATGTGAGAGGAAAGAGAGAAGTAGAGGAGGGGGAAAAAACAAGTTTCAGCAAATCAATATCAAATCAAATATACTTTCCACTCTATCAAAACAGATTTCATTAGTTACAAGCTTCCTACAGGATGGCGGTCTGAGACTTTGAACTCAAACCTGTGTCAGCGTTTGGCAAATCAATTCTGTAATTCAATTAACCGAGCTCATTTTCACTCCTGGGAGAGAAAAAGAAACAGCTCGGACTAAAGGTACAAATTTGACTCTATGTCAAAGTGCAAAATGCCTCCTGGCGAAAATCACACATTAACTACAGGAAGTAAACATGAAAACACACCCATGTTAAAAATTGTGGCAAAACAACCTCAACCAGTTACACGCAGCGATGGGAACGCGAGACAATGAAAGAACCTTTTCAACCAGGTATGTAGCAAAACGAGATGAGAATGAAGGGGCGACCTTTAGCAGGAAATAAGCTTATTATTACAGCTGTGCATTCGAACATTATACCCTTAAAAGAACAGAAGGTTAACAATATCTCTTTTCCAAATCTTGCAGAAATACAGTTTAACACTTCAGTTATATGATAACATGCCTTTTTTTTTTTTTAAATTACAATGAAGGAAATGAAAATCTACTTGGCAGCCATTACCACACATACATTACAGCCAGGCGATCAAGGTTCACATCAACATTAAACAAACTTTATCCTGCAGACACAGAACAAACTGTGTGGTGTCTGTCTGATTGAACCCATGTGACAAAGGAGCAGAAGACTGTCCAAAGAATTCCCACTGAGGGAGTGTTCGTGCTGATTTTAATTACCTCCTGCCTGCGGCACTCTACCTAAGTGCCACTTCTCATCTAAACCGAACAGATTATTTCCCACGACCGAGTATTAGGGCCACATTAAGAAAAATATTTAAAAATTGTGTGCATTTTGAGAAAAAAGTCAAAATGTGGAGATTACAGTTGCCAATGCCACGGCTCATATACATTCTACAAAACGCCTTGTGTAGACGAGTCAGTGAAACTAACTGATCAGCTGTCCTATCGACTCTTGTGATTCCACTAGTATCCTTTCACCTGCCCATTTCATTTTGGACAAATCTGGCCAAGTCCTCCAACTTTGTGTTTGCTTTTTTTTTTCTTCAGTGTTCTTTTACTTATCACACCACTGTGTTTATGTGCTAAAAGAGAAATTACTTCCTTTTAAATGAAACCAAGTACGATCTCGCTAACTCAGCGACACAAGGCATTTTGTAGAGGGTATAGCAGCCGTGGCAGTTTGTCTTGAAACACCTGTAATCTCCATATTTTGACTTTATTTTCAAAATGTAAATGTTTTTCTTTAAGTGGCTCTAATACTCCTACATAATTTCCAGTAACGAGAACACATCTAATACAGAAAAACCCTATATATAAAAAGGGTGTTATATATGACGACGTCTCGAGTTCGTGACCTCAGGGCCATGGTTGTGCGTGGCAGCAGTAAAGCTTCTGAGGACTGATTAGCATTTCTGTGCTGGTATGGAACAAGTAAATAAATGATCGCTCTGCATAAACATCCGTTTCATTAATTTACATCTGTAATGAAAGCTAAGGCAACAAACCTTGGTTTGAACAGCCGAGTGTCGCTGTGTCCTCATCTCTTGGATCAACCGGAATACATTAAAATCTTCTGGAATTTTCTTTACAACGTTAAAAGAGAATTAAAAGAAATGTTAAAATCGATCTAATGTGTACATTTGCACAGGTAAGTGTGTGTTGACATACCCCGGCTTTGAGGAGGTTCCATGTGTAGTCAATAGCACAGATAGCTCCTGTCCTCCCACAGCCTGCACTGTGATTAGTGGAAACACACACATATACACAAATAAGCTTTTGTTGTATCGGTGCACTAGATAACTAGATTTCTATTACTGAGAAGCATCTGCTCTTTTTGTATGTTGTTTGCATGTGTGTAATAACACCTCATCCAGACAGGAAGGAGACAGGAGCCTCACAGAAGCGCACACACACACACAAAAAAAAATAAATAAATAAATAAATAAAATAAAATCATAAAAAGTGATCTCACGCTGTCAGCAAGCATTCTGCTACTATAAAGAGTACCGTTTCTCCACACAAACAGCGCACATCAACCCACACAAAGCATCTTAACAGATGCAGAGATGCAGCTTTAAGTCCTGCTGTGTAACAGAGGAACCAGGAAATGTCCTCAGGCTGCTCATTATAGCTCATTACACACACATGGAGACGAGTGTGTGCATTGTGTGTACACCCATGCATGTGCGCAGCAGAAAGCTAGAAACTGTGGGCTTGTAATTATTCTGCTTTTGTTTACACTCAAGTTGATAACTTTACCATTTAAGCTTCTTACTGTACTATACTGATAATATTTACATTTGTAGCCTAGAACTTTCTGTCAAGTCTCCAGCTTCAGTAAATTGGGTAAAACCTGCTTTGTTTAAGGCAATTAAGCATTTTACATGAATCCATTTTTAGAAATTTCATATATTTCACATATTAGCTGAATTTCACCAAAACAACAAAAACATTAAAACTCAATTTCAGCTAAGAGTAGATGCATGCATAACTACCTGCAGTGTACACATATTGGGACATCATTGTTCTCTTGGTATTCTCTCATCAGCCCAATCATATCCAAAATGGAATCAAATGATGAGGGGACGTCATGATCTGGCCAGTTCATATAATGGAACTGCGTTATCCTACGGGATTCCTGCAGGAAAACAAACGTTGATAACTGAGTGGAGAGTCAGATGAAAGCTGGTTCAGTGGTGAAGGAGTGAAACTATGATATGCCATGAACAATGTTGCCAAACTGAATCTTTAAAAAAAAAAAAAACTTTATTGACACACAGTTTAAGTATAATCCCACCCCATGGACCTCCAACTTGTACACAAAGGAAATCGTTTTTCACACTAACCCAAACAGCTCTCTCCAGATGCATCTGTAGTCTGCAGTATTCAAGCCTGAAGACGGTGCATCAGATCTGGAGCATGACCAGTTGTTTTATTTTTGTTTGGATGTTTTAAAAAAAAAAAAAAAAAAAAAAAAAAAAAAAAAAAAATCCCTCACACACAAAAAAAACCCCTAAACAAACAAATAGAAAAAAAACAAGAGTGCAGCGTGACTGTCTGTCTATGCAGACCTGTCAGGATATTGCACTGCAACAGCCTGAGACGTCTGAAGGATGTTTGTGGTCATTCAGCACAAACGGGAATTTTTTAATGCACCAATCGTCCTGCGTGCAACATTTGGCTCCTGGTCAAATGGCTCCTTTTTCCTCAAACTCAAATTTAAAGGTTGGCGTTTAGATGCATGCAAGCAGTTGAAGGGGGACTTTGGGTTTATGGCTGCAAAAAGAAAGCCTAATTGTATTTGTTGGAAAACATGTGGATATGAAGTTTATTTGTAGGCAATCTTGTCGCTATTGTGATAGGCTGTAGCGTTATCTGAAAGTTAACACTTACTTTAGACTGGTTTCTTGATAAACTACATTAGGTATTAATGAAGAGGTCTCGAGAGAAAGCACTTACATTTTCATACTGTGCTGTCAAAGTCCTGATGAAGTAGTCTGTTCTGGCCTGCTCCGATTCCTAGAAAACAAAAACATGTGAGAAAAGAGGCAGTCCCAAAACGCAGACCTGCTACGTGCACTCGTCTCACACTCACACACACACACACACACACACATAGCTGTATCATCACAGATTTGTCTACTTACATAGGAGATTCTGAAAGGGCCAAAGCTCATAGGCTGCTCCCCCTGCATCGGGAAATACCGCTCACACTTTTTCTAACCAGAGAAGAAAAGTTAGCTTTGGCTGAGAACAAAATACGAGACAGACACCACAGCTTCCTGTGAACACACACTTTCAGATTCAAAATAAACAATTAATGTGACATGTAGAACATAGATGGTGACAAATATAAGTGACTAATTATGTGCTTACTATAGCCATACGTGCAAGCAATATAGAGCTCAAAATAAGTGATCAGTGTGAATTCACATCGTCTCTTTCCACAAACATTTTTTTTTTATTAGAAAAAAGAAAAGCAGTTGTGATTTTACATGTGCAAAAATGTGCACACTTACTCTTCCCATCTCAAACTCTCGACAAGCCATCACAATAACCTGCGAAGACACAAAAAGGAAGGATTACAATATAAACATTTAAGCTCTCAAAACTAAAAACGCAGATTTTTATTCATTCCTGCGTGCTTAGATTTAAAAGAGTTAGAGAAACTAAGCAGAGCATCCTTCACGTTTGATCGCACATTTCCATGCAGCTGCATTTCAGGTCATTCCTTTGATCCTACAGGAGTAATTATCAAAGCTGCAGACTCATCCCTCTTCATAGCACTAGTTAAACCTAATCATAGCCCTCCTCCCTCTTCTCATCTTTGTCCATCTGGTTACAGCATAAGCACTCTCCATCTGCCTCTTAATTCCTGACGACACAATTAAATATTTATTTTGAGTATCTTCATTATTACAGTCTTACTTCGTACACTTAATTTATTTAACCGCCACTAATGTCAACATTTTTTCTCCAATTTGTGTGATGACGCAAACCTTTTGTTCTTCCAAATCGGCACTCTTGGAAAGAGTAAGCGCTCATTTAAAAGAAAAATAAACAAAAAAAGGAGAATTACATTTTACATTAAAAAAAAGAAAAAAAAAGTCTTCTGTTAGCTGCGGCTAGTTCTTGCAGCATTTTGCAAAAACACATTAGGTAATAAACCCTCTCTTCCTCTTCAGCCACCCTGCTAACAAAAGATCCCCCGGCAGCACAGCAGTTTTTATGCTTTTTGTGGCTAGCTTGCCAAATACTTGCACTGTTAAGGTGCCATTTCCAGCTCTTGCAGCACCACCTCTCCCTTGCTATTGTGCTCTTCTAGTGGTCACTCGCAGTACTGCAACAAAACAGTCAACGCAACACCCCGAAGCGTTTTTCCCCCCCTCATAGAGCTCGATTACTAAAAAGACATCTTTAAACTATTGAACTGAACTGCTTTACCATTCCCATTATAGAATATAACCTAACCTTAACCTTATATATTGTAACCCTTACAGAGCCTAGAAAGGTTTGTTTCGAGCAAGCCGACTCGCTCAGAGACTAGTATAGCATCATAATCGACAGTACTATTTACTGATTTAAGAATCCAACATTCTGATATATCAGCTGATATTTTGTATTTATGTGTGACATGTGTAGTTATTTTTTTGCTTGTTTATGCTCTGCTCAGACAACTTCGCCCTCTGGTGGACAAACTTCAACAAGAAGGTTGAAGGGTGTTTCTTTGATCTCTTCATCCCTTTTTAAAATATTTTATTTATTATATATTATAAATACCATTATTTATAAATTGGCAAATAACCAGGTTCTAGTTTTAAAGACTTTTTAATTCCATTTAAATCCTCAGTAGATAAAAGTTTACATTGCTGAAATTGGATCAAATCACTGCAAAGAAGCCAATAATCAGATATCCAGTCTATTAATGAAGACGGGAAGAAAAAACCCCCATCAAGTGCATCCAAACTGTACATCAGACTTTTCCTGCTCTCTTTACCTTCAACGTTTTAGCTCAAAAACAGCACTTAGATACACGATTCAATTGTTCACAATGAGAAAAACAAAAAAAATATCCCCATCCATTGACTTCCAGTCTTCTAGTAAGGAAAACTCACAGCAACATTGTATTCCCAGATCATCCTCCAGAAGTCGATGACAGTGTTCGGCAGTGGACCCTGAGTTGCAATATAGGCCTCTGGGCCATCCATACCCTGAAAGCAGAGAAAACATGTTCACCGATCAATTATATTAACACATTCAGCGAGGATTAATCACATGACTCAGTACACTATAAGAACTTTTCCACTAAACTGTAAACAACATGCCAGAGAACATGGTAAAGTAACCTGACATTTACCTTAATGAAGTTAGCATTGATGTAATCTGTGTCCTGATTGGTTGTTTTTAGCTTCAGCTTCACTCTACTGTGATCAACTGGGGAGGAAATGGAAAGAAATATTTTCTCTATTAAAACATTTTCTTCTTATTGAAACAAAAATAAACAAAAAATGAATGAGGATATAAGTGGGAACAAGTAAAATATGTGATATAATGGACACAGTATTATCCTCCATTTTTATGTACAGTGCGTGTGTGTGCATACACATCTGTCACAGATGAACCAGTTTTTCCTTTGCCTTGTCAGCAACCCATTCACTAAAAGCCTTAATGAATGAATGGACAGAGGAGAAAAGCAGGATAAAGGTATAAAAAGTAGGACAGATGTTGGATCACGTAAGCTTCCCCCGAGGTTATTATTAAGTACCGCAAGACCTCTGTGTAGGAAACCATTGCATGACCTACGGCAGCTGTAGCTGCTATAAATGGATCTCTAAATATACTTTATTTCCTAAATTTCATTCATTTAACCAAGTAGTTAGAATAAAACCCTCAAAGTAAACACGAGCAGGTGACAATATCTAAAAAGATATTTGACATTTGTTGGGGCTGTTACCAGCTTTAACTGAACACCGTTTTCTCTGGTGTACAGTGACCTTTAAAGCTGAGCTGATATGTGCATGACGCTTATAAGCTGCTCGTCATGCAGGGAGCAAAGTTTCATATAGATTATATTGTCAGGCAACACTTCTGATCAAAACGCCAAGTGAAAGCAGGTGCGTTTATTGCTGTGAATCAACTACAGTCATGAAAAAGATGCAGAATGATAAGCTAGTGCAGCACATTTGGCCTTGATCTATGCATATATGTGCGCATACATAAAGGCCAGATGTGCATTTTGATAAACAAGATGCCAACCGGAAGGAGTAAAGCAAAAATCGTCCACAGATATTTTTACCTACTCATAGGCAGCACACAACCACCAAAACCTACAACAATGCTAAACATTAGGCTCCATTTAAATCCTTGTTTATAGCAGCATTGTAGCGTAGCAAGGAGGCACATTAATGCAAAGGCCAGGTGTGACCAAAAAGTTCCCATAAAAATCAAAAGTTAATTTCTTGTGCACCTCCAATTCTCCTCCCACTTTTCAGAGTTAACTAGGTAAGTAGCATCTGAAGGTTTGGGCATACCAAATTACCAGAATTTGCCCATTTTGTCCCCTTTGTCCTCCCCATGTCTTCTTAGTATGAAGAAGCCTTGTCTATTAATTTTTGATTGAATACATTGAAAGTTGAAAAAAAAAAAAAAAAAAAACAAGAGAAATTTGAACTAACTAAATCACGTGGAAGCTATGAGATAAATTATGCCACTCTAAGCTAAAGAAAAAAAGTTGGCATCTTTACATACCAACCCCAACTTTTATCCTGTTTTCTTAAAAGAAAGTGGATAAATCAGCAGTGGCTCCATTCACCGAGTTGCCAGTATAACATACAAGAAAGGTACATCGAAAAGTAACATGGTCATAAATTTTTATTAGTTTCACCTGTTTCTGATAAGTTCAAATGTGTCCTGTGGGAAAGAATCTTTCATCTGTGGAACATGACTTACATGGCAGTATATCTTTATATCTGTTCTTCTTCACATTCTCCTCTCTCTCCCCTATGTTGGTCGGGTAGATCTTCTCTGTCCGGTATTTGGTAGATAACCGTCGTAACCGCTAAAAACAAACAAGAGAACAGGACATAGACTGTAAAACACTGCTTTTCTCTTTAGCAGTTAGACATTTACCATGTGAAGTGGTTAAAAGTATAAACTGGTCTTCAAATAGAAGAACTCAAACATTGATTATTGTATTATTATATGATAAGACAGCAGGGTCAATCAGTGATACAAGTCAGACACAAATCAGCCTATCAACATCAGTATCACTCAAGAGAGAAAACTGGTGAGCTCGAATGAGAAAGCAAGCACTAGACAACAGCGCTAAAACCCCCAACACAAAACAAAAAAATACAACTTACAGATGATGGTTAATAGACAGTGTTCAGTGCTCCCAACATACTCTTTCTTTAGACTGTCAACCGGGGTATATACCCGGCAACTCATTTCAGCATTTTCATTTTTAGTTTTTATCTGTCTGAGAGAAGACCACCCACAATTCACATATTCGTGGGAAATAACCTCGCTCTTGTTGTGAAAGTTTAATTGTTGATAACCAGCCCACATTCCAGATCAAGGCACCAAAAACTGGTTTGCTAGCACGTTGCCTGTAGATCGTATGGAAGATGCTGAACTGTCTGCCAATGCTTGCCTTCTACCTGCCTACTAATACTAACCAGGCCTTCAAAGTAAAAAAGTCTCGATTTAACGCTGCAATCAACACATTTCATTCTTATTCTGAAGGCCACCCGTCACGTGTCACACTTTTCACATTCTCACCACCACTTGACGAGTAGTTGCCAAGTCACTGAGGACAAGTCTGCATTTTTCATGCAAACTACAGGCAACGGCAGCAACCACAGCAATTGCAAAGAGGTTCTCAGTGTACCAGCATTTCTCTTTGTGACCAATTTTACATAGTGACTGCGAGTTCCCCAGGTGTTCACCAGTAATGATCAAGGCACATACTTTTCCAAAGAAGGGATTCGTGAGATTCCCGTGGTTGCCGGTAGGTAGCATAACAACAGCAGTGGCTGCAATGACTTTAGACATGCTCGCAAAAGTATGGGTCGACTATCGCAGGACATATACCATGCGTCCAGAGGGGTACACATCAAGCACTTGTAAACACTGCAATATATTCAGCCACATATTTTAACCTTTACTGCAAGCTTTTAGGTCCACAACTTGTTTCCGTCAGCTCCACTCCAAGCCCGAGTGCGTGCAAGGAGCTGAAAAGGTTGGATCCGTGCATCCTTGTTCATTTAAGAAAGCATGTTTGCCTCCTTTCGTTGCATCCACTCGCGCCAGACGGAAACTAAATCGGTGGGAAACATGTTTCACTTCAGTGTTTGTCTTAGCTTAGATACAAGCAGGTTATTCCCATTTATAAACACAGAAATGCTATTTTATCAGTCCTTCTACGCTGACATCACTATTAATACCATTACACCACAGTCTAACACACGAACTCCCAGTCCTCTCTGTGTGACAGTGCATAAAGTTAAGTGTGTCCAAATCTAATAGTGGCTGACACTGATGAAGACACACTCAGTTAATGGGAAATGGGAAGAGCACAAGTACGTGGGTCTCTTGTGTGACAGCAGGCCAGAGCTTAGCTAGCTGTCCTTGAACACTGCAGGCAAGGATGAGGATATCTTTACAAAAGGAGAACACTATATTTTCTTCTGTTTACTCGTGTAACTACAGTCATTATGTGTGGGGCTTCGGGCGTTTACAAAATGAAGGTGACCTACACTCAACACCGAAAGCGCCATTTGTGGCCACAGAAGACTGAGCTAAAAAAAAAAAAAAAAAAAAAAAAAAAAAAAAAAGCAGCTTAATACACTATAAAATGACTTTTCAATGAGTCTCTTTATTGTCAAGACAACTGCTACTGTGATAGAAAATGACATCAGGAAGAGGAAAAAATTTTAATTTAAAGAACCACATTTTATTAAGCCTATTCTGAATCCTTTGTTTTTTTTTAATCTTCATTCTGGTCTTGAGTTTAACAGTGAAAGTCTAAAGAAACTTCAAAAGCACAGCAAAACTTTTGTACCATTATAAAACTCTTGCTGCTGAAGTTAGATAGCATTCGCATGGTGTCACTCTCAAGGGCCTTAAAAAAAAAGAAGATATTTCTGAAGTCTGTTTAATCTCTTTCCTCTTGGTTATTCAGACATTGAGGAAATTAGGAATCTCTCTCTCTCTAAGTCTGAGAAAGTCGGCGTGGGCGTTCAGGCTTCTGGAGCCTCGTGTGAAAAATGGTCCCACCTCTTCTCTCTGGCTTTCCTCCTGTTACTGTAGCACGGCACTGCACACCCCAACTCCTTGTGTTTCTTCCTCGTTTCACTTTTGTAACAACTACAGTGCTAGTGGACATATTAGCATTGAATAAATGTGACATTTCAACAAAAAAAAAAAAAAAGACTATACTTGATTTTTCAAAATCTACAATGCTTACAGAAGTATTAGATAGTGGTTTCTGTGCATCAGTTCTTTCTTCACTCGTAAATAATTAAAGCATTTCTGACTTCCAGAAAGTTGTCTTTTGAATCTTTTTATATTTTCTGAGCACAGCACACAAGAATCCCCCCAATGACATGATCAGTTTTTCAAAATTAAATTTTACGAACTGACGGAGAGAAAAGGAGCGCGAAACAGAGACCGTGGGCGGCAACACAGCTGTGCATGTGTGTGAGAGTGTGTGTGTGTGTGTGTGGTAATAGCGTTAGAGCTCCTCTGGCCTCATGTGAATTACATTTGCAACAGAGGTCTGCTTCTGTGTTGGGCCACAGCCCGGGCAGACATGCACAGAAACACACTCTCACATAGACACATACACAAAACGAGTAGAGAAGTCAGGTAGTAATGATGATAAGTAGCTTCCCTTTGTAGCCCCTTTTGTTTCATTTACAGGAAACCCGGGGAATCAAATTCATTTTCCCATTAAATCCTGTGGATTTAGACATTCGGTGGCACCTGGCGTACAGATTTTTGCCCCCTTAATCACCCATTTTAATCTTGAATGACAGAATATATTATCTGCCAGTTAGGACAAACCAAGCAGTAACAGCAGCTACACTCAAAATTTCTGCAAAATTAACTCTAGGGCAGGGGTGTGCAGCATAAGGCCTAAGGGCCAGAATCAGCCTGACACAGACTCAATATCGGCCCACTGTATGACTTTGGAAAATGTATTTTTTAGGTGGATAGTTCTGGTATCTTCTGTTTTACAGTTACAAGACAGTCTGGGCAATGAGCTACTTACTCTATAAGCCCAGGGAGACAAGCTGATAGATTTTTTTAATTTACTACAGCAGTATTTCTTTATCATGTAGAAAAACTGAGATGTAATGTTGAAATTACAAGTCTTCTTTTTCTTTAAATATATCTGAGGGATAGAATGTGTAGTTAAACTTTGAGTTTTTACTCCAGTGAATAGCTTTGCATCGTTCACAGTTCGATGTAACTCAATCTTATTCTGTGAGATGATAAAAGGTCCTTAGTTCACTCACTGTCTACCATGCTGCTATAAGGCAACCCTATCGTTAAGCAATCTTCTTATGATAGACACAAAAAAGGTGTTTTTTGGACAGCAAGTGGGCGGGGCTTCTTGATTAGATTTTAAGGATACCTGTTCAATGACATAACGCAGAGCCAAAAGTAGTAAAACCTGCCTGAAACTAAGTGTCAAGAGCAATCTGAAACTTGAGCTTTTAGCTAACAAGGATTAGCAACACACAAATGTACTATAATAACAATCATAAACATTTGTAACTGATACGTTTTAGTATCCCAGGTTTCACACAGTCACTGATAACAAATCTGTAAATTATACTGATGTTCTTAAATATAATTAAAAGCATGTATGCAAAACCAGTAGTTCTAAGTCATGAATTCACCATAGAGCGCTATCTTCAGCATCACTGACAGCGCCTTTATTTATCACTTGTTAATCTGCTGATAGAGCAGGGCTGACTTGTCTGTGGAGTGTCACTTACAACAATTACAGGAATGGCAACTAGGAACTGCTTCCAAATTGTCTACTCCATCAAAATATATGCCTTTAAATGTATCAGTTCCTTTAATCAACGCTAGCATATTTTCTGAGAAGTTGTGCAACAATGGATGTAAACTCAGCATGGCCTTTTTTTTTTCTTCCTGTCTTGACCACAGAGACAACTGAAAAGGAATTAATGAAACAACCAACAAAAGATCAACCCTATAAAGGCACTTGTTTCAATATCAGTCCTTAGTTATAATTACTAATATTATTACCAGTTAAAACCACTTGTTTAATTGAAAGCCTATGTGATTTAAGGTAGAGTAAAAAGATACCTCTATAATATTAGAAGATTAGATGAAGAAAATGTTAACAGTACTCCAATCAGTCCTGTGAAAAGCTGAGCTCACACCCGCACGGCTTCCATAGTAATTAAGAAGTTAAGTAGCAGCTATGTGTTGCTAATCAAATATACCTGATTAATTGACAAACTTGTCAATTAAGGCAAAAGTTTCATTTGCAGTTTGTAGGTCTGGGGCATTCTGGTGGGTTAACATCTTGCCACAATCTTCTTAGGAGGAGATGTTCTAGAAAATTCCCCACAAGATTAGACAATGCTCAGAGAAATTGGAAAAAACAAAACAAACAAACAAAAAGCCCCAAGTGCTACATCTCACACTCACACTCTGCAGGCCTCGATTAGCTTGTTAAATGTTGAAGTTCACCCCAGTATAATTAAAAACAGCTTGAACAAGAATAGCTTGTTCGGAAGGGTTGAAAAGGGGAAGTCTCTTCTTATTATAAAAACAAAACGAAACATAGCAACACAGTTTAGGTTTGCAAAGTTGCATCTGAACAAACCACAAGACTCCTGGAACAATGACCTTTTACAGACCAGACCAAAGTGGAGATGTTTGGTCATACTGCGCAGCACCATGTTTGGTAAAAACCAAACAGCATATCTGCACAAACAACTCATACCAACTATAGAGCACGGTGGTGGAGGGGAGATTTGGGCTTATTTTTCCCAGCCACAGGACGTGCGCACC